ACAGTTTAGCTAGCGAAAATTGCACGATTTTGGGGTAGATCTAGAACATAAATCTAACCATTTACCAAAAAATACATTCCGTTAATCCGGAGTGGGGTGGTGGACTATGCTGTACAGAGACCTTAGCCCAGCGGTGGGACAGATATCACTTTACTTTCTACTTTACTGCGAGGCTAGAGTTTATCCAACTACCCTACTCAGTCAAGTCATCAGAGGCATCCTCGGGTGGCAACAAATCGAAACTGACGCTCGGAAGTGAACGCCGGAAAGGCTCGGATCGCAATGTAACGGTACCAGCCCTCTACCGTGTTCTGTTACCGCCAACCCTTCGGCTCTCTCAACACATTTCACGGTTAACTTGATCCAGTGTCCCGTTACTTTGACTCCTCTAGATCACCGTTCCGCTTAGAGGCAGAGTTTTTTCTACGTGCACTCAGAACTTTTTATGAGGAACGCATTGGTAGATTGTTGAGGATTTCGTCGTGATTATTTTGATTTGTTTATTAACACACGATTAAACTGTAAGCAGAAATATTTTGCTTAGGATTACACCTCAAAATAAATTTTACAATCCGCCTGTAAAATCGTATTTAAGAATAAATCAACCAATGCGATTTTTAATGTGAATACGATGTTATTTCATAGTGAAATGAATATGAATCTATACAGATAATTGATAAAGGAGCGGTCAGTTCGACCTGGCTGGCAAAGCAATTGGCTATACCGGCAGACGACGTGAGCTCAATTCTTAAGTTTTAGCAATGCTAATAAAATATTTTATTAGAACGTTTCCAAAATAATTTTCCTCCACTAATAAACTAATTATAATGCATTGTGATTGTCATCACAATTTACTTGTTTACACAATATACAGCACCAGGTCAAAACTACAGACCATAGTGAAGATACAGACAACTTGACAGATTGTCTATGCAGTCTGTACGGGGCATCGTAGTTAAGACCACAGACAACTAAAACGATAAAGTTATCTGTGCGCAGAGGCACCGTTGTCAAAATATTGTGCACGTATCGTCTTTGGGGTCAAGTGCTCCATTTTCCGCTGATCATTTCACGCGCCATTAAGCCCAAGCCGTGTCGGGTTTCGCGCGTTAAAAAAAAAACAAAAAAGACATGCCCGGTCGTGGGAGAGTCCTGGTGCTCTGGTACCTTTTCTCCTTAACAAGCGCCGTTTGTTGCAGTAAGTTCGAATCGGAAACATTCAAGACTCCATCTGGACTATGGAATTACTAGTTTTAAATAATACACGGATCGCGGACATGATTATATTAACTCTGTCCAATTTCTACACTCTTCTCGTTGACTCTTCCTGTAATTCGGTGTATAATTTTTCGATGATGGTTGATTGTATTTTTGTGTTCGAAAGAGCTATTTCTATGATAAAGCTATTCATGTTTATTGCGTTTGCCTATGAGTGTGATGGCTGGACGGTTGTGATTAGTAATAAAGTGGCGATCAAAGTACATGAAAGAGTTGGGTCCTTGATAATTTTCTTTTAAAAACTTATTGACGTTTATTATAGACTAAATCACTTTCTTTACATTAAATGGCCACTTGGATTGTTTGTCTGTTAGTATTATTGGTTTAGTAAAATCCACAGAACATTAATATGACCAAGAAGGAGACCATGAAATCTGTAATAAAATTTAAAATAGATTCCTCGTCTTTTGTTTCATCTGTAGACAACTTATTGAACATTTACTTCGAAATGATGCGAACTGAGCAGTCAAGCATTTCAAAACATTATAAGTTATCACAAGCGATAGTATCCGTATTTATAATAATATCACCAATAGTATAAAACAAAGTAGTCCCCCTGTCTGTCTGTCCCTATGTATGCTTAGATCTTTAAAATTACGCAACGGATCTTGATGAGGTTTTTTTTACTAGATAGAGTGATTCAAGAATAAGGTTTATATGAATAATACATTACACCCGTGCGAAGCCGGGGCGGATCGCTATTTAAAAATTAAACCAAAACACTTACTTTCTGTCAAATATTACACACAAACGTATTACTAGATCGCCTTCCTTGTTTCTTCAAAGCTCCTACGTCTTTTTTACTGCAAAAGTCACTTGAGCTCCGTAGTCGTGAAAGTTTTCGATGTGGCTGGACCCTTGCTAAAGATATATAGACCGGAAAAGAAAGTTCCCTCCAACGGAGATATTTGCATTATTATTCATAATGGAGCCTTACTTTTAAAAAGCAACAAATATCTGTGAGTCGCGAGTGAGTTCATCCACTGTAAATAGAGATAATTGTATTAAGGTTTCGCCGAAATGATTTGGTTCTAAACGTGACAGACTGCTCGTATACTGATAAATTTAGTTATCTATTGGTGCCAAGAAGGCTAGCTGCATTGCCTAGCTGAATGGTTATGCTAACCTTTGAGCGAGAATAGAACTAGTCTCTCGTCACCAGTCGCGGCGTTAAGCCTAGAACGTAGTAAACCTTTCAAAAATTTCATACGGGGACCCCACGGGCCCTAAGTTTCAACAGCAAATGGCCCAAATATATAATCTATTAACCTATTAAATGTGAATGTATCTCACATTTTATATTAGAATATATCCATGTGAGGTGCCACTATTAGATATAGACTTGGTTCGTTGGCGTATCCTCTGTCCGTCTTTTTGCTACAATCATTATAATATTCCTCAGAGGGTCAATGGGAGCACTTGACATTGGGGAAATCACGTAGATCGGACGCTGGAAGCATACGTTAGCGACGAAATTCGCTTGCACCAAAATGTTGCCCTTAAAAATGACTGGACCACCCGAAGATGGTGACTCTTGCCTTTGACGTCGGATGCAACGGATGCGGCTTTGCGACGTTGGGATCTGGTAATGCCAGGCTAAGGCTTATGAATCAGATTATTAAAGTCCATTTTTAGTAGACGAATTACTACGTCAAACTGACATGATTAGTTTAGCTATTAGTAAATTAATTTTTATTTCGATATCAGCGAATTTCCAATATTAAACATATTTTAACATTCTATGATGTAATAAATGATTAACTAAATTTATAATAATATTACTATTTTATGTAAAATACTGTGAGCATTCGTACTAAATCGTTTATACTAATAAAAATCTTATTTTTTTTAAGTACTCCTATCTATAAATCTTATAAAATAATGAATAATATATTTAAACCGTGACATAATTACCGCATCCAAAGCTTCTTCGCTCCGTGTCCCTTAGGGCCACCAACATCACAAGTGTACAATTTCACCCACCTCGAGGGCCTAGTGAAAACTATATCGGTGGGTTCGATTCCCAGCCCGGCTCGTATGGGGACAGGTTTGCGTGCCGATTTTTAAAATTAGCTTCGTTACACTTTTTCTTTTGTTAAATCATCAATGAATTACTTTTACAGTAATAACGGACCTCGTCGACCGACCCCAACACTCATGACCGAAAGTTTCTGTTGGATAAATATGAAGTGTTCTTACAGATTGGGACTATTGTTTCGATTTTTTTTTGTCATAGAGCCACAACTACTAAAATTTGAGCAACCTATCCACCTAAACCATAATAATAAAACCTTATAACATTTCCACGGCCTCAAGGAAGACTGGAAGGAAGTAGTAGGAATGGAGGAGTCTTTGTTGGTGAGCTAAATAACAGGAGTTACCTCTTCAAGTGTAGCTAAGCGGCTTACTCTTTGGTATTTCGATGACCACGAAGGGTGCTGGCAGTCATGGCAGTAAACTGCACACTCGTTGCCAATCTTCTCTCATAGTCTTTCCTAAAGAAAATAAAAAAGAATATTTGTTCTATAAACATGGGTTTGTGTTACGACAATACTAAACTTGTTACGATAATCCTTGTCAAGCGTAGTAGTAGTATCAGCTTTTGCAGTATAGCAAAGTAGGTAAATAATCATTGAGTTTACATCTTTATGTCATTTCGTTTGCCGTGTTTTGCGACAGATTTTTATAATTTTAAAGTGTTAATATTCTATACTTAATAAACCTATTTACTACGTAACCACATATGACCTTCAATGTAACTACTAATACTATTAAATGTGCATACCGTGATTAATGATGTTACGAAACTTCACTTTCACATTCGCAAGAAACGAACCGAATTGTTGGCGAATTTATTTTTACAAACAAAAAGGGAAATATGTATGGTGGATACGGAGTGTATGCAACTGATAGTATTAATATTTTTATTTACTTATATTTCAACAAAAAAAAATTGAAATGTTCATGAGTTTGGCAACTAAATAAGAATAACTTTTATTTTCATTCTTTTTGAAAAGAGTATTTGGGTAAATATTTGCAGTCTTCTTCACTTTCAACACGTATAACAATACATTTTTCATGTTCGTAATTTTTTTGAATAAAACCTTGTACAGGATTTGGAATTTATATTTTCACTCTCCTTCGATCCATGGAATCACTTAAGACTATCTATCACGTTAGATATTTAAAATCGAGATTGAGTGACCTTGTCAATTACTTTATTTTGTATCATTCATGAATAGTAATCCGAGTACTTTGTTGACATTTTTTACAGAACGTGAAGTTTTCGTATAATTTGTAGATATCCCTAGTAGATTATTATTTTTCTTTTATGTGATATAGAAATTATTTAATTTATAAATGAAGTTACGAACCCTACCTGTTTTTTCAGAAGTGACATTTTCGTATAAGAAAAATTTACTTGATTTTGAGGGTTTACCCATTTAATACTTAAAAATACCTTAAATCAAGGTGTGTTTAAAAGTGCCATAATAAAAAGTCAATTGAAGCAGTCTTTTGTAACCGAACAATTTCTTACTCAAACGTAAAGCTGATAAGCTTGCGTCTCATTACAAACGTATCGATATCTAATTACATTAATTGCTAACCGAATCGGGCAGCCGCAAACACTTTTCAGTTATAGTGGCGGGCTAAAAAGTCAAACGGATCAAACAATAGCACTCGCCGGCACACGCACCGCCCGAGGGAGAGAATAATTAATGATGATTGGCCTTAAATTACCCTCTCGAAGCCTCTACCCATCCTCCTCGCTCGCGCGCGTCCCGCCTCTTCCCACCCTCTCTGGCACACCGGGAGAATATATAAGCGAAACAGGTAGGCCCCAGGTTAGACCCCTGCAGGACACCGGACCGGACACTCGTGTTGTTAACGTCAAACAATCAAAGTTCGCGATCGCAATGGCAGCCGAGACTTACGGGCATAGATTTTACACCGAAAAGGACATCTTCCCCAACGACGTCATGCTGGAGTACACCGAGGAGTGCTACCTATCTTGGCCACGATCCCCAGATTCGGGGAGGTCGAGTTTGGAGCCGACCCCTTCTTTGGACAGCAACGAGTCGCCAACCCACATCGCATACAGAGGACTGACCAACGACCTCGTGCTGGAGGACAGTGCGGAAGACGGGGAGGTTCTAGAAGGTTCTGGAAAGAGGAGGGGCCGGGCAACCAGTGCCGCCGTGCTGCGGAGGCGTCGTTTAGCAGCTAACGCTAGGGAACGGAGACGGATGCAGAACCTGAACAAGGCGTTCGACAGACTGCGTGGCCATTTGCCCTCTTTGGGCGCTGATCGCCAGCTTTCCAAGTACGAAACCCTGCAAATGGCGCAGACATACATCGCCGCACTTTACGAACTATTGCAGTAAGGTACGCCTTCATTAGGAGCCAATTAGTCCCAGTGGTCAGTGCTAAAACTCTGTTATTTAGAAACGTCACCACCATTACAGATATGTGAGCACTAAAACTTGCCAAATTTTACTGTTTTACGAATAGATAATACAGGGATATTTATTGTTTAAGTACCGTAATACTCAACGCGTTACCAATTAAGTTTAGTGCTTTTAAGATTGAAAATACTTCGAAGTAACCTCTCAACAATTTTTTTAAGTGAAGTTTGATTAATAACCATGTATTTTTTAGCTTGAATTTACGCTTTTAAAAGTAATTAGGGTTAGTAAATACTTTACGTATCGTGTGATCCGTCCTACCGATTAATTTTATTATTTATTTAAATAGTTTATTACAAATTTCTAAATGTTACTTACCGACCTTTATACAAAATATCCATTTTAAAGATTTACATTTCGAGGAAGATAATTTAACAAACATTTAAGTTTATTACTGGCAACGAATATAAAAAAAAAATATTGTAACGCAAATTAAATTGAAAATCTTGTTGAATAACTTTCATCTTAATTTGTGTTTTCTCAATTATTTGTATTAATATTTAATCATATATTTTTAAGGATATGATTTGCCAAGAAATTTATTTAGTTAAGACTACCAGTTGTGTGATGTAACATCTTGCCAATAAAAGTATTACTGTTTGTATTTTAGGTATTGCATCAGTATTTTATAAATTATTACTTATTGTACATTTCATAGTTGTAGACTGTTATGCGCATTTAAGTACGCTTATGTTATTGTAAATATATGAGATCTGTTTGAAACATTTGTTTTATTATGAAAGATAATTGTACTCCATTTAAGTACATATTTGTAATTTTATAACTATTAAAAACTAACCCTTTCCCAGCCAAGGTGGGTTGTAAGATATTCAAGTATCATCAAATGTTGTTTCACAAAATTCTTCACTAAAATACATTGTACCCAAAGCTTCCCTGTCTTTTTAAAATATGATAACAATAGTATCATATTTTTTTATTAATTTTTAATTGCTCAGTCAACGCATATGTCCAACTTGTAATACTAACGGCCGGTTCCTGTAACTGCCAAAAGTACGGTTAAACTCTCTGAATTGACCAGAATGATCTTCTAATGGTCAGAACGATCAATCCAAAGAGCCACCATACTTTTGGCAACTAAAATGAAATTTGAAAACCATTTGACAGCTGATTAGTTGACATCTACGATGATCAGTGTTTCAGAAACCGGCCGTTAAAGAAGAAGCAAACACCAGTTAGATGATTCCTTTTATTGATGCTAAAAAATTTATCTATATTGAGAAATCGTCTCAAAATTTAACATTATGAGTAATTTCTAACTGCTTTAAATTATGCAACGTACAAGTAAATTTGATTGCGGCTCAATTCAATATACTCGAGCAACCGGAGTTCGATCTCCGGTGCTGGTACCAATGTAATTGTAAATTTTAACTGCTCATTTATCACGTGCTCGAAGGTGAAGGAAAATATCGTGAGGAAACCTGTATATTTTCGAAATGATTACAAAAAAAAATATTTCGAAGATATGTTTAGTCCGCCTATCCGTAGTGGGGCCGCGTGGTGGTCTATTCCCTGATACCCTCTGTACAGAGGAGGCCTTTGCCCAGCAGCGGAACATATACAGGCTTTTTATGTTAACTTCGTAAGGCCAGATTAAGCTCTTTTAAAATTGAATTCATTAACTTTCCATAAATTGATTCGTTTAAATAACCTAGAAATGAAATTATTTATAAGCATCTAGGAATATTTATATCAAAATGATGCATTCAGGCATGCATCTTATTCCTGTCGCGACAAACAGAAGAGCTGTAAAGAAGTTCCAGGGGACGAAAAACAACTGATTCGTAAATCAGGCAATTCCAAATGAAAGACCAGGTCAGTTGATTGTCAGGAGGGTAAGAAAATTTTACGCATTTTTAAATAAAAAGACTGTGGACATTCTTGCTTGTAATATGTTGATAATAAAAATATTTTTGTATGTACATTCTACATATTGCGCTTCCCTTAGGAGAATACTGAAAACATCGTCCAATATAGACAACACATGGGACTATTACATAACGTTACTAGAACACCAAATTTTTATACGTCAAGCTAGCGAAACAAAGTCAAAGGCTAACCTAAGCAGCCATGTCATTCATGTAACAGAATGGCTACCAAAGAAACATTCAATATATCGAACGTATTGCGACCTGAGTGACAGAACAATCAGTCAAACGTATGTTAATTCAGCAGGTGTGCACCCAGGCAAATTTCTATACGCCCAATTATTACTCTTTCTATATATTATCATATGTCTAAACAAAAGCAATGTCGGCTTTTCTTTCTTAAGCAATTTATCTTTGTAGATAGGGGGACACGGTCATAACAGAGCAATACCCTGAGATTTGGAGCAAATGTAGAAAATTATTAGACTTTAAAATTTGTGGAAAAAACTACGAAAGTTTATCGCCGCTATGGGAATCGAACACACGTTTTCGGGATTCGCGCCCTGACTTTAATCACTAAGCTAAATGGCCGATTGCCACATCGACGATAACCTCAAATTCTTTTATCTAAACAAATTTTTAGCGTTTGAAGCAACGCTTGGCGCATCCTAAAATTCTCAGCCCATTACAAAGTGTAAAGAAGTAGAAGCCTTCCGAATATTTAGCACGGTCTCCGTCATAATGGTCAAATAACCGTTGATATATAAATATTACGTTGAAAAGATTCCAAAAGTCAAATACATAGACTCTAAACGGCCCAAATCGTTGCTTAAATCTATGGCATTTAGACTGATTAGCTAAGCTGCTGTTTAGTATAAAAGCTCCATGAAACATTTTCTCCGATCATGATGTTAAATTAAGTTTATAATAAAAAAATAACGAAGACTTCGTTTTTAATAAAATTTTTGGTAACGATATTTTATGATAAAATGTTGTCAAAAATAGAGGTCTTTAAAACTAGAAATAATAATAGACAATGTAAAGATTTCTAATGAACACATTTTGGATGTGTATCTTGAAACAAAATAAATTCGGTGTAACATTTTTAATTATCAGTTAGATGGAATAATAGAAACGTTGTAAGTATACGTTCGGTTTTTGCATTAAAACCATTCCTGTTGGAAATATCACACTAACTCGAGCATGGGACTGTTTCTGCGATGAAAAACTTGGTATACACGGGGATTGTTAATCGGCCGGCCCTCCGCCGCCATATAATTAATGTGAGATACGTGTGAACTTAATCAATGGTTCCGTACATCGACTGACAGCGCCCTACGCCGCGTAACGTCTTAATTCCTCTTCGGGCTGTCAAATCTGACAGCTGTCAAGTATGACAAGTCATCCGCCGACTTCGCGGGCCGTTGTGTAAGTTGATAAGTTGTTATTAGAGGGTTGCAAATTGAATTTTTACACGTATCAATAATTTGTTTGTTAAATGGCCATACGTAATGGCATGACTTTTCAGTTTTGTTACTTTTTTAAATGAGTTATACGTAAAAAGTATTTTTTACTAAGACCTACAGTGTTTAATTTAAATCCTCTTATGTTTTTAATCGCTGAAATTAATGTACATCATGTTAAAGACATCTATCTCTTACACATAACTTTCTAGTTCATAGTTCAATAAATAAGGGTTGTGATGATATTTTATGTAATGATATTATTGTTACACAAAAACATTTTACTGTTTTCCGACTTTTCAAACCCTAATGCTTCCATAGTGATTTGAATAACCCCTTAGTTAAGTTTAACCCAGCCTAACGTCAAGTTTTTATAGTCTGTAACAGCCCATTTTATAAAACGAAACAAATAAAATACAATGACCATATTCACTTCAAAATACTATCTGTATCACTGTATCACCTCATACGCAGTTTATTCTAAGTATTTTATAAAAATCAAAACCAGAATAACTACTAATCTTATGTTAACCAGTTGATTGCCGTTGACAAGAGCTTCGAAGCTTTAATTTAATGGAAGATTCACGCCCGGTTTCAAAAACACTGATCATCGTATCGTAGAAGTCAACTCAGAATTGAGAATGATCTCCTTAATGTTCATATTGAGCAATTCAAAGAGTTTAACAGCCCTTACGCAACTCAAATAACATTTGCAAAGCCATTTGACAGCCGATTAGTTGACTTCTACAATGATCAGTGTTTCAGAAACCGGGCGTTAGACCTGGGCCAAGGTCCACATCACGAAGATCGCCTAAGCGGAACCCGCCGTCACCCCGCCTTGGCCTATTCAATTGGGCTCATCATACGGACTGTAGACTCTATCCCGTGACCGCGATTGGCTGCGCAGTGGCCAATCGGCAGCGGGCCATAGCGCACGCCTGCAATTGTGCGTACATAGAGGTAATGGTGGAGCCGAAGGTCGAAATTCGAGCAAAGCGAGACCCTTTCCTTTGGTATAATAAAGCCGCAATATAGTTGGCTTATTCCCGTTTTCATCATCGGACTCTAACTTTAAGGGACACTAACGTTTCTTGGTACATGTATTAAATTACATAATAGAATAGGTGACATCCACAAACAACTACGTGTAAACAATTTTGAACATTTTGTAAAAGCTACCCTAATGGAAAGGGTCCATTATAATGTCAAACAATACATTGACGACAAGGATGTGTACAAATGACTCTTGCTCTGCACTCGCAAGTCCCCTGCCTGTTGTTGATTTTATACATAAAAAATAATGTAAACTTATGTAATTAAAAAAGAAAATTTTATGATAACAAAATCGCAGTTTCTTGCCAGGCCTTCTCTGGACTGGTCTAGTTTAGTGACCCGATGGCAGTTTTGTTACGTTCAACAAGACCTTAAAGTAAGCCTAAATTTAATAAAGAAATTTTCACTTTTTCTTTGAATACCGTCATCAGCGAACATTGTGTAAGAACTTACACAATGTTGCATTCTCTTGCTTGTAAATATGTTCTAGATTTCCGACCAGTTACGGTTCATAGAGCTAATGAGAGCTTTTGAATAATTGAATAATTGTTTTAAATAACGTTTTAAATGAAGCCAATACACAAGTTTTTATGGCGTAGAAGTAAACCCGATTAAGTATCAAAAATTTTCAATCGACTTCAAAAAAAGAGGTTATCAGTTCGATTGTATTTTTTTATGTTTGCTACCTCAGAACTCCGCCATTTGTAATCCGATTTTAAAAATTCCCTTTGCATTGATTTCGGATTAGACTTGGTGGCGCCGGTGCTAAGTTATTGGCTTCGGCGTAGGGAATCATGGGTTCGATTCCCATACGGGACAAGTATTTATATGACTTACGTACTTATTTATTTTCCAAGGAGGTTTGACGTCATGCAGGCAGCCGGTCGTAAAAAACAAAGCCAAAACCGCTCACAAGATGATTCATACGAGTATGCTATGCTAATCAGATAGAGAAAGTTTAGCGAGTGAGATATTCGAAGTCGGTATTGTTTTTCGGTTATTAAAAATGTAGGTACTTGGCGATTGCCTCTAGTGCGATAATGATATGTGTGAACGAATTGCCTTAATGCATCCGTGTAAATTGTTAATCGGGCACAGGGAGCGCGGTACGTATCCTCGAGGAGGGAGGGGGAGGGACGGGAGCGGGGTATGCATCACCAATTTCTCGCAACAATTACCGAGCGAAGGTCGATCGGTCGAATTAAAGTTAATCTCGATCGGCCGAGTCCGCGGACGGACAGGCGGACAGGATGCGTCGCAATTACCCTGTCCTTAAATCGGCCCGGCGCAAGTAGAAGTCGAAATTAGAATACGTGGTGCGTTGCTCACGCGGTGCGCAGTTGATTGGCGCCGAGCCGGGCGCGGGTTCGATCCCGAGAGCTCCTGAGGTACGTGCTGTGTACCCGTAAGTTTGGAAGCTGGAGGTATTTTCACAGGGAGTGATATGGCGTTTGGCACACAGCATAATGAATGAATGAATATGCTTTATTGCACACCAAAAATCTAAAACTTAATATAGAAGTAATGGGTACAATGGGCGGCCAAAGCAATTAGTTTCACTGTGGAAAACACCTTCATTATGTAGATATTTTTATCTCTGTCTTTAGAGTCGTTCACATTATCACACCTACTAAAGTTCTAAACAGAAGACCGAGCAAATGCCTTTTTCCTATGCTAAGTCACATAAAACCATATTATTATCCTTTTTTAAAGTTGAAAAGTAAAAGGAACACTGGATATTTTATCAAATTGATTCGTTAAAAACAAACTCTCCCGTCATAACTCTTCTTACTTAATCCATAATTAAAATAAAAAAAAATAATCAGGAAAAAGAACGAAACGCAGCAATTCGCATTAAAAACAATAGCGGCCCATTCAAAAAAAAACCAAAGCAAATGATTTTTTAACTAAACTAATTCCAATGGCGCCGCCCACAGAACCTCGTGCAGTTTTAGTTGGTCGATTAAAAAATAAATAATGACATCAAATAATACGGAGTCCGGTAGCACAGATAAAAAATGCATAACTGACATTAATCTAGGAGGCCGGAAGAAAAGGCGGGAAAGAAATGCATCAGACGCGAGTTAATTAAAAGCGAGCATTAATTTCTCATAAGGATTTAACACAAACAACGGTTTAACATAAACAACGACATGATTTCATCTATTGGGTTTTGGTTAAATATGGATTTGTAAAAATAATCTCCGTAAATCTTACATTTGGGATTATCATGAAATATTTTTCTTGTAATCTTATTTAAACTCTCAATAACAAACTGGACTTTGTTTTCAAGTTTTTCTTGTCCGAAACAGGCAATGTATAACATTTTAAAATGTATATTGTTCTGCTAGTTTTCTAGCTTTTAGCCATTGTTATCTATTATATAGTCGTATAATCGCTAAAGTAGATCACCATCATCATCATCATCATTTCAGCCTGTTTGAGTCCACCGCTGAACATAGGCCTCCCCCATAGACTGCCACGAAGTACGATCCTGAGCCACCTGCATCCATCGACCACCCGCACATTTGTACAAGTAAAACCAATATTCGTAATTTATATGATTAAACCGAAGTTGATGGGTACTTATTTTTATTGATACCGTTACCATATTGTTTATTCGACAGTTTCCACAATTCAATTCCCTTGCAGGGAAATTCTAGTAAAATCGTTATTTGTATAGACAAATACTTGTGTATTTTTGTTCAGCCTTCATATAACAACTGTTCCGAGCCCATTTGTCAGTCAATACAATACTTTGAGACTTCAATGCTTGGCATATACACCTAAATCAACGGCAAGTCATAAGTTGTATGATCCGTGTAGCCTCTCTCAGCCGCTGCTTTAACCGATCCATTATCCATATATCTTCAATATAAGTGCCTATTGTAAGTCTTTACTTTATTTGCCCCAATTGAATGGCCAACAACCAATGTAATAAAAAAATTAAAAAATTTCTATATTATTACACCAATTACAGCTACAAACCTTTTACAAAATCATACAGAGCATCAAAAGATGACTGTTGAGTCAAAAATTGTATTACGACATTAAAACTTTTATAATGTTAACTGTATATATTATCTATTATACTTTTAAAAAGAAATTATAGATGCAATTCTTGTTGTCGCTTGAGAAGTTTTACTACAAACAAGTTGTCCGACAAGGACCCTTACAGTCTTAATACCGATTCCTTGGTTTCGAAGGGTAAGGAAGGCCAAAACGTCAAAAACGCTGGGTAAGCCACCGTTGAAGAGACGACAAGAAACGCATCAGCTGTCGTCACGCTTGTTCTACAAATTGCCACTAACTTTATCTATTAATATATCTATGAAACACAGAGCTCTCTGTAATTTATCGCATTTAAATGGTGAATAAAACTTATCTTAAGACTAATCTCGATCGGCAGTCCGGGCGAAACAAACAATAAAATACAGGAGACGCCGCGAAAAGGGCGACCACGCTTCCGATGCTCCGAAAATGGATACCGTTTATATAATACTAGCAGACCCAACAGGTAATATTTTGTAAAATCCTTAGCTGACCTCTACTCGACGAAAGGAATATTGCTACCAAATTTCAAGTCTTTACGGCTTATGGTTCCAGAGATATCGTAAGTCAATTATCGGCGGAAATCTCTTATACATAGATGTATGGCTATTTCCAACGTTGTAAGTTAATGTGACTTTGTTATATTACCAATGATGGAGTACATTTTTTTAAATTAATTTAATTAAACTTCAGGATAACATAACTGGAATCTTGAGAAATATTTGCAATGCTGAGACTTAAGTATATAATTTATCTAATCTTTACAAGACGAAATCGGGGCGGCATTGGAGGCACCTGAAGTAAGTAAAAGGTGCAAATATTGGTTTCTATGTTTAGATTATGTATATGTGCCATTTGCTGTTGAAACTTTGGGTCTCCGTACATAATTTTTTTTTAAAGGTTTATGTCCTAGGCTTATCGCCGCGGCTGGTGACAAGAGAGCTCTTTTCTCGCTCAAAGGTTAAGCATATCTATTCAGCGATGAAATGCTGTTAGTGTTCTTGGCAACATGCCGCGTAGATTAGGTTTATTAGATAGAATTATACAAATATGCTTTTATTTAAATGTGCGTGAAGTTTAAATTGTTCGCGACTAGGATTTTTCTAGCGATCTCATTCGCGAAGTCCTGTCTCAAATAATTATTAAGAGATTCTTCATTATATAAACAAACATACAGCCTGATTAGCGCCAATATCGACGCCCCTGAGTCCTGAGTGCAGCTAAAGAGGAATTCGGCGGACGTGTCCACGAAGCCGCGGCGGAATGGCCACCGGGCCTCTAACAAAAGGAGCGCGCCCGACGGAGCGAGAGGCGAAATCGGTCGCACTCCTTCCGGCGGTGCAGCAGGTGACACGAAATTTATTCCGAATTTGAAAAGCGAGGCATATTTCATACGGGGAGGAACCGAGCGGCGTTTTTTAGCGTGGACAACCTTTATTCCGACGTGGTCGCGGTTGACAGGTCTATATTTGTCGCCCGATGTTGCTTGCGGCTAAAGACCGCGTGATTTATTCGACGGCAGTGCGTTGACTTCGCACCCGCGTATCGCGTCACAGCGAGGTAACCGGGGCTCCTGAAAGTTTCGCACCGCCACCCCACTTGTAGTGTGAATGTCCATGCGTGGGTAATATTACGGTAGTCTCTCGTGGTAGGGCCAAGAATTGGCTTCGAAAGAAAGTAAAAGGTCTCTCATTTTATACTTTTTCTACTAGCTACACAGAATACTACGGGATACAGGACACTTATTCGTAAAACATGGTAGATAGTTCACGAATGTGTTTTTGTAGTTGCGGTACCGTACAATGGAGGACATGTTTATAGAGCAGATGACAGATGTGATCACAGACAGCAAGTGATCACCGCCACACATAAAAATACGTGACACCAGGGAGTTGTCAAAGCGTTTCGGTCTTTCGGGTAGAAACAGCTCTCTTATTGATGGTCTAGAAGCGATTTTTATGGTGGAATTACCCGACTGCGGCAAAGCGGAAAAGTTGAGTTTCGCATTCGGTTTCTACGGTGGTAGGGCCACGCAGCAGCCTCTGCTGTTGCACGAATGGGCTGGCTCGTCCGGGTAAGTACCACGACCTCACTGAAGACCGGCGTAAAGTGGAATTATAATACTTTCGCGTTTCGTCTGGTGAGTGAGGTAGCCGGAGCCCAATTTTCCCTTTGAGCTCAAGATTCCCTTGAGCCCTCGGGTGTAGCAGATGTCCATGGGCGGCGGTATTCACTTAGCATCGGATGAACCGTCTGCTCGCTTGGCAACATTTCACATTAAAAAAATCGACCTGTACGTATGTATCTATATATGTATATATGTACGTCCCCGTGTCTCTCGACGAACGGCTAACCCGATTTTGATCAATGATGCGTCATATATTTCCCGAGTATCCTGAGTCCTGAGCCACCTGCATCCATCGACTCTCAAGAACATTTCTTCCCCATCGGTACGTGACAGTCTGCGCGGGAAGCTTATGTTCAGCAGTGGACTCAAACAGGCTGAAATGATAATCACTGGGTAAATATATATCATAAAAATGAGTGTGCCTCAGATTTTTTTTAAATATTCACTTGTTTTAATGTTTGATTTATCGGCTATTTCAACGTCAAAGGTGTGTCCCATCTGCCAATGGTTAATCTAGAAATAATTGTTGATATATTGTCGCGACACTCATCCCGCCACTGGCTCGTAAATCACATATTAAGGATACGTGTACTGATTGCATCTCCGCGCTTTCCCACCAGATTATGTTTCGTTTCTGATATTTTGATTTCTCAGTAACCGGGTGACAACCTCGCTTTTTTACATTTGAATAATTAAGACGGATAATAGTTTAGAAAACATTCTTAAAGATTTATTATCATCTATTTTTGTAAAGTTCACACATATCTTTTCCAGATTTTTTAAAGACTTTAAATTATTATTAAGGAATGAAATGTTTTCTTATAATTTCGAATACTTGAAAAAAGATATTTCGTCGCAAACTAAATCTAAATGTTAGGGATGTAGTAGTAAGTTTTATCCTCCGACAAAATCATTTAAACTAGTGGTAGCTGAATACTAAATTAAATTTAAACCAAGTAGATAATAATAATGATAGTAAATATTTCGGGACATATTTTTACACAACATTTTCTAGTCCCAATCTAAGCAAAGCTTGGCTAGAAAGATAACTGATAATAACATACTTAAACATACTTTTCTTTCGTAAATGAATACATATTAAAAATACGTAAACGCCCACACACTGAAAAAACACAATGTCCATGACACAGTATTATTCCAGTAATGGGGATTGAACCCACACCCTCGGCGCAAGAGAGTCACTACCCAATAGGCCCGTCGAGTAGTCAAGATAACAATAACGTATCTAAAATGATCCAATGAAATGGATTTGGACTCGATTTAGATTTAAAATAAGGATCGCCTAGCCATTTGGTAGTAAAGAAAACTGTAAAAAAACCAATCTTAATGGCAATCTATTTTATTACGAATTTACTATGACAATATTCAGAGAATTACCATAAATATGTGATAAACTCCCCATTCGATACGCTGACAAATTAAAGATACTTAAAAACGCATTAAATCGATACAAAACCCTTCGCGGCCGCTCCCGAATTGTTCGGATATCAATGAAAATTATATTTCGGGAGATTATTCAAATCGTACAGCCATAAATTTTAAAACTCAATGCCTCACGTTCCTCCTTCGGTTTTTTGTTAGCAATTCCGCCCCGCGGACAACTTTATAATAAGATAAGTTAATGCCGAAACTCTAATAATACATAGTAATTAAATTAATATTAAAATTTAAATATGTTTTGTTACAAGAAAGGTTCGCAAACGAGCCTCTGTTGTTGCTCGCCATCGGAGGCCTTTATTTTAACGTTTTAACGTATCTGCAATCCCTCAGGTACGTGTATGTGTGGCGGTATTACATATACAAAATTTCACATAAAACGTGATCTTACCCCTGTCTCTTAGGTTCACCTAGGGTACTTACAAAATATCACCACCATCCAACCCTTAATGCAGAGGCTCTGGCATCTCCTATCGAAAACATCGTTTCCCCTCTGTGCTATCCATTGAAGAGCACCCTTTGAGAAGAATATACCTTCTTCAAGCCTCGCTGCTTTATGGCGAAACCATCACATGTTACCGTCCCTCTTAGGTCAAGTAATGTGCACGATCAGGGCTCCACTCCGACGTTCCTTGAACCCTTTATATTCTTAAAAGTCGACTACTTTTAAGATACTCGGGGAACTCCTGATTTCTCTCTCTTCTGTACATCTTCGAGCAACTAGACGCTCAGCACTTATATCATCCCATCGGCCTTCCACGCACTTAAACGCATTTGCAGGCTCCGGTGTTGCAGAGGTTCACGGGCGGTGATCAATTACTTTTTTCCATTAAAAAAAAAACCCAGCGCTTTTCTATGTCGTTTATTAGGTGCAGCAGATGAATGGAAGGATTTGATGGTGTCTATCTTTCAGTCTGAATAAAATGCGTTTATCTTCAGACAGTCGAAAGTCGATACTGAATGGACTTCTACGAGCTGGTGTATTTACCACATACGCCACTTATCATCAGGGGCCGAGCATTCAAGCGCTGGGCAGTCCCTTTTAAAAATCTGTGAGACCGAGAGTCTAGCAGTTGCGTTGCTATCTTTGAGAGGGTAAATCTAGTAACCTCACTCAACTGACGATGTGAATGAATAAGTCCGATGGGAGAGGTAGCCGGGGCAAACTGTTTTTAAAGGCTGGAAAGGCATCTGCAACTCCTCAAGGGTGGTAGATGTCCATGGGCAGCGGTAATATCTTAATACCAGGTAAACAGCCTGCTCACTTCTACAATTCTCGTAAAAAAAAAGCATATAAAGGAAATGACATAAAATATGTTTCCTTTTATTGTGTCATCAGTTACAATTATAATCGAAGGGAAAATAATTAAATTTATCGATATTTAAATCAGTCAAAAAATGCGTACAAAATGAATTTTTAAATAACTTTTTTATAAACCGAAACCATAACAATATTAGGAAAAAACAAATCTTATCAAAATATTAAAATATAACAAAGGAGCGAACAAGATAACCATTTTCATTACTCATAATAGTTGTTAAATTTAATTAAAAAAAAAGAAATTAAAACGGAATTGCGTTGCGTGCGATTTTATATCTCGCAATAGTTGCTTCAATTATAAAAAAATAAAAAGTAGTTTCATCGCGCATTTCTCTTACTAAATCCAGCATATACCTTACAAGGCAGGACTCCGGAAATACAATTTGTCCGGAGCGAACGCCCATCGATCAGGCTACTTCCGGTTGGGCGCCACCGATAAAAGCGCTGCCCGTATCCTTTCCGATTAAGCGTGAGGATGCCGCATCCGTTTTACAATGAGTTATCGGTCACCGTTTATTTTTGCGGAGTCGCCGACGACGCGCTTTCCCCACTATGCAAATCATTCTGCACATATCTATATATAGTAAAGTAAGAGCCGATCCCCGGTGCCGGCACCAATGAAGTTTTTAACTTTAAGTGCTGACTTATCACGTGCTCCGCGGTGAAGGAAAACATCGTGAGGAAACCTGCATATTTTCGAAATAATAACAAAAAAATATTTTTCGAAGATATGTGAAGTCCGCCAATCCGCAGTGGGGCCGTGGTAGACTATGCCCTGATACCCTCTGTATAGAGGAGGCCTTTGCCCAGCAGTGAGACATGTATAGGCTGTTACTTTAATTTTTTTTACTATATAGTCTGACTTACATGCAGTTATCTGCACAAGATGATCTTATTTATATACGTAAGATCATTTTGTACAGATAAGTGCCGCATTGACGATGAGTTTATTAAACTTTCGTAGTTCTAAAACTTATTTCCTTGGGCAATTTTGTCTGTTTTTTGTAACAGGTTACATCAGAAACCGCTGTAAAGAACCTTAAACCTTTTACTTGATTTATAGCAACGTCATATAGAGGACTATTTATTTTAAAAACATTTTTTTATGTGAGAAGGTTGGCAGCGATCTGACGGTTCACCTTATGTTAAGTGATATCTGCCCATGGACATTTGCAACGTCCGTAAGATTACAGTATTAATATATGAAAGGCGTTAAAATAATACAAAAAAATAGTAAAGGAGAGTAACTTCACGACGTTGATATCCAATAAAGGTATGGAAGATAGAAAACATTAAAATTAAACATTAAATAACTAACTACTAATATTGTTAATTAAATTAATAATATATTACTATTGTATAAATAACTAACTTATTATTTACATTATAATTGAGGATAATCCGGCATAAAACAAAACTAAACGTAAGAAAAGTCTTCTTGAATTTCCTATATATTACTTAAGACGATGCCAAACAATTTCGCTCA